CTCAGTGGGATTAACCGCTTGTAAGGGCCTAAGAAGAGGGAGCTTGGAGGGGGAGCTTATTCCAACATCGTTGATGAGTCTTGGGTTTACACTGGTCCTCTTCCTCCTCCTACTCCTACTCCTCTGCCGCCTTCGCCACCTCCTCCTTCTTTTCCTCCTCCTCCTTCTCTTCCCTCCCCCCCTCCTCCCCTCCCACCTCGTGTCGATCATTCTCACTCCTCTCCTCCCTCCTCGTGTCAATCATCCCCCAGCTTCTAGAGTTTGGGCGACAAGTGTCGCGCACCCCGTTCTTACAGTGGCCCTGGGGAAACAATGATGAACCGATGGTCGGCGCAGAGACTGCTGTAATGCCGCGTCCGACCAACGTCCTCAAGCCGCCCGAGAGGCCCCGTAAGACGGCCCCAGGAGGGCGGCGGCCCCCAATGCAGAGGGCCTCAAGCCTGGTGGAGCCGCGAGGACGGCCTTCGAAGGCCAAGCGGCCCTTTCGTGGGCCTGCAGGGGCAGTGCAGAGGCCATCGAGAAGCCCTACGGGGCCCTGGGAGGCCCCCAAGAGGCCCAGGGCCTTGCTGTGGCTCTGGAACACGCTCTTGGTGGGCTTGTTTTCCACCACCACAACCATAAGTTGGAGGGGGAGGGGGTCATCCTCCTCCTCTTCCTCACCCTCCACCTCCTTCCCCCCTCCAACTTCTGGTGGTGGTGGTGGTGGAAAACATGCCCGTGAGCTCTGGGACACCCCAGGCTCCATGCTCGTGGGCGTGGCAGCTCGCCACTGGACCTCCCTTGCGTAGGATACGCGAGCACAGTCACCCGAGCGAGGCCAGCGCCTGCCCAGACAGTGCTGAGGGTCAGCTCGAGGCCGCTAGGACCGCCACGGCCGCCTTTGTGGCATGGGTCCGCGCGGCGTGGAAGAACGCTCGCCACTCGGCGTCCCACCACAAGCGCTCCATGGAATGGAGGCGCTCCCTTGCCCACCTCTGCGACCAAGCGAACATGGACAGGCCGCCCTTTTGCGCCCGTCTGCCGCAGGAGCGCTCTGCCTTCGTGTGCCACGAGTGCCAGGCTGTGCTGGACTCGCCGATCGCGTGAAGACGCACATGGCCGCAGCAACACCCCGCCTTCGACAGGGGCCAGAAGCTTGCTTTCGCCTCGCAGTGCTCTGCTTGCAGGTCCGAGTTCTGTACGAGGCTCCGCCTGGTCCGCCACCTCCGCCACTGGAGCCCCCGATACGTGGACGCCCTCGAACCCCAGTGTGGCCCGCTCACTTGGGAAATGCCGGAGGAAGAGCGGCGGAAGGTCGCGCAAGCCGGCACGGAGTTGCGCGAGGGAGGGCTGCGCGAAGAAGAAGCGGTCCTTCCTGCCGTCAGGTTCTGCGGGCCAAGTTGGCCGTGCGAGGGGGCTGCCCACCTTTGCCGCCCCCGGTCTTTCGGGGGAACCTGTTCCCCCCCCTCGGAGCAGGCCAAGCTGCCCGCCCTCATCCGCCTTCCGCCATCCTCCCCCTTCCTCCTCGAGAAAGGGTCTCGCCTCCTCCTCACTCTTCCTCGGGCAAGAGCTTCGCCTCCTCGAGAAAGGGTCTTATCGCCTCCTGCTCCTCCTTCTCCTCCTCCTCCTCCTCCTCTTTCCACCCTCCTCCTCCTCCTCCTCCTCCTCCTCCTCCTCCTCCTCATCCTCCTCCTCCTCCTCCTGCTCTCTCCTCCCTCCTCCCTCCTCCCTCCTCCCCCCTGCCTCCTCCCATCTCCCTCCTCCTCCCTCCTCCCTCCTCCTCCTCCTCCTGCTCCTCCTCCTCCTGCTGCTGCTCCTCCTCCTCCTGTTCCTCCTCCTCCTCCTCCTCTTCCTCCTCCTCCGCGCAATTTACGTTGAATCCTTTGCACGAGTTTCACGGGTTGAGGGCGGGTGGATTTCAAACTGTGTCTCTCGCCTTAGCGCGCATTCGTCTTAATAAATGAAATAACAAATACAAGAGTTTCATGGATTGAGGGCGGTTCGTCTTCAACATGTGGCTCTCACGTCGACGGGTATTCGTTTCAATAACTTGTTCTCTGTAACAAATTGTAAGAGTTCGACGAGTTCCCATGGCTGCCGTACCAGAAATTGCGTTTTGGAAATAGTCAGGACGGTCAGGACGCAACGTTTATGTTCACTCGCTGTGGTGAAGTCTCCGGAGCGGTGTTCTGAAACGATTCAGGATCATCAAAACGCAACAGTCAGGTTGACTCGTGGCGTTGGAGTCCCGAGAATAATGCTTTGGCGCGACTCAGGATCTTCGATCAGTCGTCTCCCAACGGGACACTTCCCTCAGTGGAAATGAACCCTTGTGTGGGGCCTGTGAAGAGGGAGCTTGGGGAAGGGTGTATCCCAGCATCATTGATGAGTCTGAGGTTTGCACTGGCTCTCCTCCTCCTCCTCCTCCTCCTCCTCCTCCTCCTCCTCCAGCCCCCCACCTCCCACCTCCCTCCTCCCTCCCTCCCTCCCTCCCTCCTCCCCCTCTTCTCCCTCCTCCCTCCCTCTTCCTCCCTCCTCCTCCCTCATCCCTCAACCCTCCTCCCTCCTCACCCCTCCCTCCTCGCTCCTCCCTCCCTCACTCCTCCCCTCCTCCTCCCTCCCTCCCTCCCTCCCCCCCTCCCTCCGCTCCCTCCCTCTCCCTCCTCCTCCTCCTCCTCCTCCTCCTCCTCCTCTCCTCCTCCTCCTCCTCCTCCTCTCCTCCTCCTCCCTCCTCCTCTCCTCCTCCTCCTCCTTCCAGCCTCTTCCCTCCTCTCTCCTCCCCCCTCGCTCCTCCCTCCCTCCCCTCCCCCTCCTCCCTCCTCCTGCCTCCTCCTCCTCGCTCCCTCCTCCCTCCCCCTCCCGCCCTCCACCTCCCTCTCCCCCCGGGGCCACGCCGCCCCTTCTCCCCTTCTCCCCGTCCCCCCCCCCGTCGCAGGCTGTGCTCCCCGCCCCGCCAGGGACCCGCTCCTTGCCCGCTCCCCCCCCCCCCCCCCGCGATGCTCTGCTCGGGGCGCCGCCGCTCCAGGGACCGCCACGGGAGCGGCTCCGAGGGCCCCCACCAGGAGGGGAGGGGGCGAGGCCAAGAGCGGCCAGGAACGTCTTCGGCGGCGCGCCCGGGGGGGGGGGGAAAGCGAGAAGGGGCGGGCCCTCTCAGAAGGCTCGGAGAAGGTCCCCGGCCTTCTGAGAAGTCTCCTAAGCCCTCCCAGAAGACGCAGAACACCTCTTGGAGGGCGCGAGGGCTTCTGAGAAGCCCCGCCGCCTTCTGAGAAGGCATTTTTCTTTTCACTTCCCCCCCTCGCTCGCCGCCGAACTTCTTCGGCGGCGATACTGGGGACGAATCGCCCAGGAGAGAGCAATATGCAGGCATCCAGGGGGCGCTGATGGTCCATGCCTTCGGCGAGGCTCCCCAGCGAATGCGTGCCAGCCTCTGGGCTACTCACCCCCATCGTCGCCTCCGACTTTTGCTCAGCGTGTCGCGGCGGCGGCCCCGGCGACACGCTGCGCTCTGCGAGCGGACAGCGTGTCGCTCCGCTCCGCAGGGAGGGATGCTGGAGGCTGGGACGAGCTCGAGGCGTTGACGCCTGTCGGGCGGAAATGGACAGCGTGTCGCGCCCAAGCGTGGTCGGCCAGCACCGGCAGCGCGACACGCCAAGCCAAAGCTCCTGACTGCAGCAGCGAAAACCAAGGCGACCTTACGCGCGAGGACACGCTCAGGCATTCAGGAGAGCCCATAATCAAATCGATTAATCGGATCGCTGATCGAAATGAATCGAATCGGCGGAAATCGGCAGCCGAGTCGGGATAAGTCGAATCGGCAGAGATCCGCAGTCTCGTGGGCCTCCACTGAAGAATCGGAACCCGAATCGAAATCCGAAGCCAAATCGAACCCTGATCGGAACCAGTCGAAACCGGATCGAATCGAATCGGAGGAGTCGAAACGAGCCCCGGACATTGGATGGGCCTCATGGCCCAGGACGTTACCGTGGGCCTTCTGGCGCCCGCCCCCCTTTGAGACCTGGTCCGCGGCCCCTTACCGTGCCCCGGAGTAGGGGCCCAGTCCTGCGCGCGCGCGCTCGATGAGATGTGGGGCATCAACGGGCTCAACGCCATCGTGAGGGGGCAGATCGAGCTCGGTAACGCTTCGTTGAGAATGACGATCCGTTTACTTCTCGCCGCCCATATCACTCGCACCCCTGTTGTGATGGAGCACCCTGTCGGCGCCCACTGGTGTGAAGGTGCCGTGTCGAGCTGGCTCTTGCAGGAGTTCCACCGGGTGGCCGCTCCCTCGAGCACGGCCGAGACCACGCTCG